GTGGAGCCGTATGACTCGAGGTTTGCCACGATGCAAATTATTCTCCCAACAGGGATTGCCTCTTGAACATGCAATGTTCCCCATTCACTTGGAGAGACAGTGTAATCATACACGTCGGATCTATTACCTGCGTCATACATGGCCACAAGTGCATCGATATCTCGAGCCAAGCACAACTAACAGTCCAGTGGTACAAAAGAAAGATCCAATTCGCAGGTAAACCCGCTCAACCGAAATCAGCGCAAAAGAAAATTGACCAAGGGAGATGGGCTGAGATTCCAGACAATGCTCATGAGACCCGGCAAGCTGAGACTAAGAATTAATGAACTGGTTAGTAATGCAGCAAAAGAAGGGGACACCGCTTTCTTCTAACTCGGACGCCAGGAATCGAACCCGGTTCTGCCTCCCAAACGTTTAAATGTTATGAGGCCGTGTAACCGCACACCACGTCCGATTTATTGGCATCCTTTGGCGCCCCGAGCTCATTGACATTTCAAGCTTCGAATAATTGAACGAAGAGTTCAACAGTGCAAAATGATGGAAATGTGAAGCACGCACTCTATACAATGTTTCCGGCGCAGACGGTGAGATACGGGGGGCCGGAGTAGTTGCGTGCGGAGGCAGCTGAGGCAAATCAGAATCCTGATTCGAATCAGTATTCAGCCGATGAGTGAGACGAAGGCAGGCCAGACTGGGGGGAAGGAAGTCGCGGCCCGAGAAAATGCCGCGACGCGGCTCGTGGTGAGGAAGACGAACGCGAGCGCAGGCTGTATACGTCCGTCAGCGTTTTCTTTTGACCCACCCATGCACAGCGCATGGGGAGAAGGGCGTACCGCACCACCACTGCTTTAAATTGTGCAACGAGAGGTGTTGGCTATACCTCGGAAAGGAATCGGTGGCCTTCCACGTTGCGCGTACAGCCGGCGCGTACAGCCGGCGCTTGAGGTTCGCGAAAGCAAACGTGTTCCATTGGACGGGGCGACTTTGAGGACGTCGAACTTGACCGCAGGGGGGGTAGCTATAGTGCTAGTGTCAGGAGGAAGTGGGTGAGGGGAGAGGAGGGGAGGGGAGGACGGCGGGGTCGCGTTGGGGTATGGAAGGGAACAGCGGAACAGCGAGGAAGAGGAGCCGCGATGGGTGGTGCAGGAATAGGTGCGGAAGGAGATGAGGGAGGAAGAGAGAGTATGCCGACACAAGAACGGAGAATGAAGGAGGAACAAACCTTCACCATAAGCAACAAATCCAGGTACGCCGTCTCGTCCGCCGCGTCCGGTCGTGAATGCATCATGGAGCTTAGCGATAATGTCAGTTCGATAATCGGAGCAAGCAAGAGGGAGGTGAGGGAAATAGGAGAGCGAAGAGGAATGAAAGAAGGGAAGAAAATGCTTACGCACTGTCCCAAAACACCTGCTTCAGCAAAGAGAACGTCAGATTCCCGCGCATCGAGCGAAGGGGCGGGTAGTTTGGGTTCAGGCGGCGGAACGTTTCTGTAAACATCATATTTCAGTCTGGAGGAGGGGCATCGAGGAGGGATAGTAGGATGTACCGGTGGCCATTGACCGGCGCGGCGCGCGCGTTGGAAGCGAAGGTACAGAGATCCTTAGAGGAGGAGGAAAAGAAAGGGGACACACAGGTTGTGCCGTATCACCTTGGCCGCGAGCCTGAACGCCGCCATTCCCGTACTGCGGATGCAGCGAATCCCTGTACAGTACCACGAGAGTCAGTGTTGCAACCCGGACGACACCGAGGGTGAATAAAATGAGGAGAACGTGCCTAAATCCTTCTCTCAACTAGTATGAAGCAAAAATTGCGCGTTGGAGTGGACAAAATGCCGAAAACACGGACCGACACGCCGGCGACGCTCGTTGAAGATTGTCCGGTGCTGGTAACCCTAGATAACAACCAAGGTATGGTGTATGAATGCCTAGCATCAATCCTAGGATAGTTTGAACAAAATTGAGGGGCTCATCGTGGTCATCTGCGCCCTTCTTGGCGAAAAGCGGAAAAATCACGTATTTCATTGTTGACCGGGTGATTCGCACTCGTATGGGCCCAGAAACAGCGTGAGACGTGTCGGGGGGTCTCGGCTTTCGTTTGAGGTCCGAATCGAGGGCGGAATGAGGCCGTAGAGCGTCGGGAAGAGGAGATGGTGGTGGTGGGAAGAGAAAGACACGTCGAGTCACGACGTGACGGTCACGCATCACAAATTCGAACCCGGGCCAAAACCAAGCGTCAAGTTGCCAGCGGACTCCGGCACCCTTTGAAATCAACTGCAGTCCAATGAGTCGATATTAGGGTCACTGCCAAAATTTATCTAATGTCTGTGAAGCTACAGTCAATCCGAAACAAGCACATTTGGTTATCTATCGATCGAGGCTCGAGTACAGGCTACGAAAGAAGAGACTGGGGATACACATGCGAGAGTGTGATACACAGTACGTGATACACAGTACGAGGGGTTGGAGAGGGTCATTTAGTCTTGAATTTCGATCAGGTGCCGTAGCTGGAAGAGACAGTCTTCTCCTTGCGACGGTTAGAGTAGTTCAATGCAAGTAATTCTTTAACTCACAGATTTTGCTGCGGCTTTCGACCGTGTCTTCTTAACAGCGCTCTTCTTGAGCCTTTTATTAGGCTCCGGCTGACATGGCATTAGTTGATCCTCAAAAATAAACTAAAAACCGCGTTGACAAAAATCAGCTCGTTGGAAGTCGGTCAAGGAAAGAGTCCTTTTGGCCGGCTTTGGCTTCGCTTTCTGTCAATGTGTCGCTTTCTGAAGAGGGTGTGAGATGGGGAAAATGGTCAGGATCATCAACCCAACCTCCTTTTCGGGGCGACGTTTGTCGCGTTCTATGATGCACGACAGCCAGAGAATAAGATATCTAAGTAGAGAATGTCAACATGCCTGCACAATGTTGGGGTACCGCAGCCGCGCTTGGGCAAAGAAGGCGTTCGAGAAGCCTTTCTCGGCCTTCGACAAGGTGGTATGTTTCGTCGCATCCATCAAAGTTTTACGGATCGTCGAGAATGGATTCAGAGAGGATATTATACAAGTCATTGCCTAGGTCGTGCTCGTTCCTTGACAGAGTTCGGATGATGTTGCAAAAATTTGCTGTTGGGGCCTTAACTAGGATCCTATAGGAGTGATCAAATGAACGATATGGTTTAGAGGAATGATTATAGGATTGATCGAAACTCACTACCCACCGCCTCGCATACGAGGCATAAGTGAGATCCAGCTTTGACTTTGCGTTACAGATATTGAACATCTTCCAGGCGATACTCTTTAGGAAATTCTCCCGATCGCTTTGTGATAAAGTACGCGTGGGGTTGCACTCTTGAGGGATCTCAGCACAGATTCGAAGGTCGAAGAATGATACACCGGGGCCCAAGGTGCCAACATCCCCGGCCAGTGTTTGCCGTTGCTGGGAAAGCGACAGAATATGTTAATTCGGTTCCTCGGGCAGCCCGTCCTCATACAGGACGGCAGGGCAGGTCGCAGGAAGGCAGACGATAGTAGAGGTGGCGCGCCCTCAGCGGGCTTGGTTGGCCTTGCACGCTTAGCCTTGGACGCTGGCGTGGTTTTCGACTGCGTACCCGGTTATGGATGCATCTTTCACGTACTTTAGGGGTTTCTTCCTCTTCTAAGCTTTTGTGATCCGAGTCCGACGGACGGAAAGATACTGGACGTCCTTCCTCCCGACACAAAGAATGCGGACCGTGTCGTTGAACAGCACGCAGGGAGGACTCGGACAGTTGATCTTTCTGAAGAGAATTCGAAGGTAATTGGTTCAAATCGTGATTCCAGCGAATGCATGGAGCAAGAATCAGTCTCTGAAAAGGCGCCAGGTCGCACCGGGAGGAAGTGTGGAATGAACCTTCACAGAACGATGGTCAGACCGGATTTTCGAATACCAGCAAAAGGATACTTACCGGGATCCAGTTGCTTTAAGTAGGATTGACGCGTCGGAAAGGGTAGTTCGCTGGGGACCACGTTGTAAACGGCCCGATGCCCTTGGAATCGGCCAGATGGTGAGAGAGAAGAAAAAGAGCGAGATTGATCGGCGGGAGCACTGGCGCCAAATATAGCCAAAGCCGGTGTTCTTTCGTGATCCGATGCACGAATTAGGGTCGGGGAAGGCGTAGGGATGATGAAAGAAAAAATCACCAAATTGACTCAAGATGAGTGGATTCTGCTCAACTGAGAATCCCTCAATCGCCTTGAGTGGGCCAAAATACAATCAGGTTCGACTCAATCGGCCTGATTGTGGAAATCAAATTCTGATTGAGTCATCAATCAGGCCGATTGAAAGTTCTTCCCACAGTGTTACCAATACTCATGGCAAACCCGGACGCCAGGAATCAAACCCGGGATTGCCTCTCAAAAGTTGAAGTTGAAGCGTTATGCGCCTAATCACAGAGGCCGTGTACCATACACCACGTCCGAGCTCTTAGCCTCCGTTGTCCGAAGTCTGTGCGTTATTAACGCTCCAAACCTCTCCAGCGCAACGGCGATGCTCCAAGATGGCAAGATCCCCGCACTGCGCGATGTCGATAGCAATTGCTTTGCGGCTTCCTTGCCTTGTTTAATCAGCACAGCGACTTAAATCAGGCCGGGTAATCCAACGAATTGACAAAAACTTTGCATGGTTTGATGTGGAACACTCGGACGCCAGGAATCGAACCCGGGATTGCCTCCCAAACGTTCAGGCGATACACACCAAATTCCAGAGGCCGTGTAACCCTACACCACGTCCGATTTCCTAGCTCTCATACATGCTCATGAACCCCAGGGATAGTGATCCCGCGGATGCCTGTAACGCGTTTTGCCGATCTGCGCTAAGCCAAGCCGGGGTGAACCGAAAAACAAACGTGTAAGGGAGGCATCTGAGTTTCCAGACAAGACTCAGGCCCAGCAATATGGCACCAAGAGTTAACGAACTGGTCAGTTCAGTTCAACAGCACAAAAGGAGTGCAAAAAACGCACGTTCCGACAGCGCACACTCGAACGCCAGGAGTCGAACCCGGGATTACCTCCCAAACTTTCAAGCGGTTTGCCACCAATTCCAGAGGTCGTGTAACCCTACACCACATCCGATTTCTGAACCCTATTGTATGCTTGATGAAGCTCATAACTTCGCGATCCGTTTCTCGTCTGCCAAGCCAAGGGCAAGCGACCCGAACCGCTGTGCAAGGGTCTGTGATCCGTCACAACAGGAGAGGAGAATGAACCTCAGACAAGGCCCAGGTCCAGGCACGGCGATCGCGGACCCATTGACTCCCATTGCGCATTGATAGAACCCGCATGTCAAGCTTCAAGGACAGTCAAGCCCCACCGCACGAATGAAAAGTACACACAAATGCAATTGCAAAAATACATGTCGTTTCGTCCATTCAATCCTACAAATGGAATCGGAATCGTCCGTGGAAATCCCGGGGGGTGGTGGTATAGTGTGTACTCGTCCGTCTCCTCCTTCTCGTTCCATACAATTGTGTCCGTCGGAGTATCGCGACAATACGGCGGTTGGGATAAAAGGGAGAGTGCGGTTGGAATAAAGTGAGGGAGAGGGAGAACTGCGCCAGCGCAAAATCACTCCAACCCCAACGCCCACGCGCTCGTCTGCCGCTCCTCGAGGGCGCGGATGCGCGCCTTGGTCGCTTTGAGGTCGATGTTTTCGGGGTTGCGCTGTGTGTGCGTGAGGATTTAAATAAGAACGGGAGAGCAAGGGCAGCAATGCAATGGATAAGGTACGCCAGATGACTGACGAAAGCTGGGCAGGAAAAGAAAGCGAATGTCTATTGCCCGGCAACGGAATGAAGAGAAGGGAGGGGAAAGTAGGGAGAAGAGGGAAAGGAAGGGGAGGACGAGGAAGCATGCTGCAAGCGCATGCGAGTCCCAAAAAGACAACGCGATACACAAATAAAAAACACGATGCGAGTCAAGACAAAAACTCACAGTCCCAGCCCTCTCCAAAACCCCCTGCGCCGCCCTCAACTCCGCCGCCAAATACGCCTGTCTCGCTGCCGGCGAAGAATTTGCGCCCGGTTCTGCTCTCCCTCCCGTGCCGGCACCGGCGAACGGTGTAGCCCACGAGCCCGCAGAGCCGGTACGCTCGTGCGAGGCGGGCGGGGGCTGTGGCGGGGGGTAGGCGCCTAGCTCGACTGCGTCGCGTTCACTTGCCATCGGCGGGGCGGGGTAGCCTTTATCCAGACTCGGTGCTCCGTATGCCCCTTCCTTGGCGATGGAGGGCCGCGTCGCCGGCATCGCAGCACCACCGAGTGTCTTGCCGGGGCCGGCGAAGGCAGCGCGGGTGCGGGCGCGGCGGATGAAGAGGAAGCGGACGAAGAAGAGGGAGGCGATGAAAAGGAGGATGGCGATGGCGACGCCGACGATCAGGCCTACGGGCGCTTTGTGTTGTCTGGGCGCACAAAAATTAACAGGGAAAGGGAGAGGTAAAGGCAGAGAGGCACACTTTTCCGAATGCAGGGAGTGCGTAGGCGGGGGACGGGCGGAGTGGGTTACGGAGATGACGTTGGAGGCGGAGACGCCTGAGGTGGCGGTCGGGACGAGTGTCACGGCGCGTGGGAGCAGCGCGGTCAGCATCGTGCGTTTCTTCGTTCCTCCTCTTTCTTCTTTGCTTTCCTTCTGCCCTCTTTCTTCCTCTCGTCTCGATGTCGTGCGTCTCGGTGTCGGTGTCGTTCCCACTGGGTGGTGTGCGTGGGTAGTCTGTAGCTTGTAGTCTGTGGCGTGAAGGTAGGGCGTAGGAGTAGCTTGTAGTCTGTGGCGTGAAGTAGGATGGAGGAGACGCTGGAGCAGAGGATGGAGTAGGATGCGGGGAGGACGACGAGCGTGTGCGTCGTCAACGGATGGACGTGGTGAGAGGTAACAAGGGATTTGATTTGGCATAATAGCACAATGGCGCTTGATCATAACACATGTAAATATCCGTTGATCGCCGTTTCATGCACGACAACGTCCAGGACTAGGTTCGGAGCAAGCCTGTCTCCAGGCCGGCGAGCCGGCTAATCTCGGAGAGAGGCTTGGGACAAAGTAATCAAAACGGTGGGGAGCTTTGATTTCAATTTCCGACCTCGTAATTCATTCTCTGCCCAAACCTGGGAGACAAAGTTGTTACCTGTATGCCTAAAAGTTGCCTCGCACATGTCCCGTATTTTTTCTGCTTCAATCGAGCACACTATGAGTGCATCAACCAACCACTGATGGAAATCCGAAGGTACAAATCTGAACATTTCTAACACTGCACGACAGAGATTTTATGGACTCGATGGTAGCAGAACCATATTTCCTGACCGTTAGCACTTCCTGCGGCAATTGGAACCTATTCTAGCTCTGCTACAGCCTCAGAACTCGCGACACCCCTCATCCGGCACGCTGGCACGCCCAGAGCAAGCCCAGAGCAAACAAATTACAAGGGCCAATTGTTCGACGACAAGACAATGAGCCCTCTCGGACTGTGCGCTACGGCCGCCCGCATGCATCGCCGACTTGTCTTAATCAACCTCGCCCCAGTCTCGACGTATCAAGATCACTATTACTTCCCGCTGGTGCTCTTCTCCCGCCGCGCCGTTGTAGCCATCTCTTCATCTGGAAACGCTCAACTTCTGGCAAAAGAGCTGGCGAGGCTATACCGGCTCTCATCCGTACCTATGTCGTTGTGTTCTTGTGTTGTACGCATTCCGCTCGACCGAAAAGATCCCTCTGGACTTGAAGCCTCTTGCTACTCACCAAAGTCACCAGTCCACCCAAAAAGACCCGGTAGCGAGCGGTCTCGCATCCACACCGCGTACTTTGGCCTCAATGTTAGACTGTGGGAGCTCCGAGTAGTCCTGGTTCGACCCCAGGCCGGGCCATAAGCTGTCTGAGGGGAAGACTTTTTTTCTCGACGATCGCTCCAACTCCCGCCCAATCGGAAGTTCCTTACATACACTTCTCTATCTCTTCCCCGCTCCTTCACGCAATTCTACTTGCCGAATCTGCATGCGCGTGCGTAACTTCGGGTCTGCTCAGGCTCGACGGTGCTAATTCAAGGTTCGACAGAGGATAGTCAAGACCCGGTAGCGAGCGGTCTCGCACTCACACTGCGTTGTGTTCCACCGGCCAGATACTTTGTGGGCACCACTGGTTCGAATCCAGGCTAGGTCATTACAGTCTGGTCGAGAAGGCTTTTTGGCAACCGCTCAAGTACTGTGCCCTCCCGCCGGACGCACACCAATTGAAAATGTGAATATCCCCTCTCCGATCCAAGCAATTCCGCCGAGTCTGCACGTAATTCTAGCGATTGGAAGGTCCGTTCATCCAGCCTCATCCAGCCTCATGAGTAAAGGTTTTGGCAGACAGTGATTATGACCCGGTAGCAATAGATCTCGCGCTCGCCCCGCATGTTTTGCATAGGAATGCCAACGGGAGCCCTGGTTCGACTCCAGGCTGGGTCGTCGATACTAAAGGCGAGCATTTTTTTTGCCAATCGATGCAGTACTGTGTCCTGCACGACCCAGGCGAGGCAAATACGAATCTCACCCGTCGCACCGCTGCACGAAATTTCGCGCATTCGAAATTTCTGTTCCTCCAACCCCGCGTTTAACAGTGCTAATTCAAGGCTCGACAGAGCCAGAATAAGACCCGGTAGCGAGCGGGCTCGCACCCTGTTGTTCATCAAACCCATCTGTTGCTACTTCAATGCTAACGGGAGCTCCTGGTTCGACTCCAGGCTGGGTCGTGTTCAAGTTGGACTGAGGGAGAAGATTTTTTGCCGATTACTCAAGCACTGTGACCCTCCCGCTGAACCAACCACCGATCGATTTTTTTCCCCCCAGCGACTCCCGTATCTATCCCTGCTACGCGATTCTGGTGACCTCCGCGCGATTGTGTGTTCCGTTCAAAATGAGCATTGAGTGTTGGTTAACACAAGGTTCAACAGTGAATAATCAAGACCCGGTAGCGAGCGGTCTCGCACCCTGTTGTTTATAACCTCAATGCTAACGGGAGCTCCTGGTTCGACTCCAGGCTGGGTCCTACAGTGGAACTGTTCCTTTTTTCCCCTTTGAACTTGCATCTGGACCTCTTCTTGCTCTCGCGCCATCGATGCGAATCTCGAGTTTCGTATCCGCCCGCATCCGAGATTTCGCGCGTATGGCACATATACTGTCCAATAAATAGAAAAATAGTTGAAATGACACCGGATGAGAGAATTATCTGTGAGATGACTTTTGGAGGATAAAAAGCATTGAGACAACACTTCTGTGGGAAAAGCAAGTTGAAATGCAACCCGAACAACAGAGTGTGAAGTGTCGGTTGCTGACAATTACAGAAGGGTACCGTCCATATCTAGCCGCAAACTGATCAATGGTCCAGCGTCGGGGCTGCGTCCCGGTGAGAAATAACCATAGTTTGAAGGTAGTGATCTCTTCTCCGTCTTGCTGTCATGTCTGCTGGGGCTTGAACTTTCTATTCACCATCCGCTGATGGTACGTATATTCCTCTACTTTTACCCCCAGTCTTGATCCTCTTACCGCCATTCCTCTGCCTACAGAACGAACTTTGTCGCATCCACCTCGGTTCAGTAAAACAATCTCCCTACTCCTTAGGTTGTTATCCTTCCCCCTTGTCGCATTCCGTCGTCATACTGTACCATTCGCGGTCGATGCCGATCCCGGCGTACCATCAATAGTACCAGTGATTGTTGAGTGATTAGTCTTTGGTGAGACCGTGGCTAGCTGCGCTGACTCGTGGTTCGACCTGCCGTGCCTTCGTGCCGAACTGAGACCAGTGGGCTTCATTTTTGAACACCTGGTCATTTCAACTTTTTTTTGGACATGTGCCATCTCAACTTTTTTTTTCTGGACAGATGTCATTTCAACTGCATGCATTTATTGGACACTATATGGCCCATACGCGCGTTCGTAACGTTCAAAATTTCAAATCACACTCGAAGGCGCTTGCTAACTGGAGGTTCGAGAGAGGATAGTCAAGACCCGTTAGCGAGCGGACTCGTCCCCGTAATGCTTCCGCCGCATGTATAATGAGTGCTAACGGGAGCTCCTGGTTCAACTCCAGGCCGGGTCATGGTGACTCTCGCT